GAGTCATTAGTGTTCTCTTCCTCGTTCATGTCCTAGGTAGGGCTTTTGTTTTGGTGGTGATGGTGAGAAAAGGTACTTTAAATGAATGCTTATACCAAAGCATGTTTCTCCTATAGTTTTTGTACATTTTCTTTTTCTTATTGATGAATTATTGAACTTAAAATATACAACAACATTAATTGATCACTGCCACATCTGATCTATCTAATTATGGGAATTTAATAATGGATGTAATTGACTATTACCAGCACCTAGATTTATATTCCATAGCGAGAAAAACAAAGAAGGAAGTTGTACTTGATAATTTGTTTTGGTGTTCGATTTATAAATATGAGTCTTCAAGTTTTGCAATATTAACAATGTATATACGCGAGTATTAGACTATTTGAACAGCATTGCTGTTCCTTTTCTCTCACATTGTGTTTCTTCTCACATTTGTAGGACTCTAAGTTGGATGTTACCATTGGTCCGTATGAAACCTATGAAGATGCACTTTTTGGGTATAAGGTACCTATTAACGCAGCTATGTATTTTGCTTAGACATTGATTGTTTTAACCTTCTTGGAATAAGCTGGATTCAAGCAGCCATATCTTTGTTTGGTGGCTTGAAATTCTTTTGAGAACTTTCTTTTCCTGAAACGAACTCTTTTTTCCTTTAAAATTAGGGCAAGAAGTTGTGATATCTCCCATAGTGTGGTTCCTGTTTGGAACTCTATTTATTGGTTCCTATTTGGCACTCTATTTGGTGCCAGGTTTTATATCAAACGTAAATTTACTGATTGGTGTGATCCCTTCCGTACAGTGGGGCTTCATTAGTATCCTATTTGTTACTAATTTTTTTATAACAAACTTGAATCTACTGGTTTTCTAAAACTATCAGTTCTTGTCAGTTTACAACCTTCATATGCTAACGATGCTAAATTTTTGGATTGCATCAGGCTACATTTGAAGCTTTCATCGGAATTCGGGATGATAAAGGAACTTCTCAAGTAAAATTTTTTGGTGATAATTTGCAGGTATTTTTTGACCTGCCAAGTCACAATATGTTTTCTTTTTTTGTTGGCTTTTTGGGCTTTTTTGCTGTCTATAATGCACATCCAAGTTTCGTATCCAAAAAAGGTGACTTTCTGATCTTTTCTTGGAGAAGAGAAAAGTTTTCCCCCCTTGGAAAATAATTCTAATGGAGTTATTATTATAGGTTCTGGAACAAAATCTCCCTATGGACAATGCATACAAGTCAAAAGATGTTAGTGCTGCTCCCATTCGGGTTGTCCAGCTTCTCTACAATGCTGGGGTGAGTTAATTTTTCACGATTTTCACAGGTTCACATAAAACGTTCGTTTATTTCATAAGACATGCTTTTCTGTAGTTTTATGTACATAAGTTTTATACTGAAAGATTGTGGAAAGAGATGCATATCTTGTGTGTTTTACTTGAGAATTGAGAATTATCATATGAAGAAATTGGATGGTAATTTATTGAAAATAATTGTGGAGACCAGTAGTTTCTACATGAATTGTTCAATAGCTTTGGAGAGGCAAACCTTGCTAATCTATAAAGTAGATCTGTATGACATTGAGATTAATTCGTTGGATTTTATCAGGATGTAAAGGGCCCTCAGACTGTTGCTTTTAATTTGCCAAATGACGAGCGAATTGTGAAAGACCGAGGAACATCAATGGTTATGCTTAAGAACGTTTCAGAGGCCAAGTACTGTACATTTTCTTTGTCGTGGATTCAACTGTCATTTTATCTTAACTTTGGATTCTCTTTTGGGAAATTATTGGACATATTTAGATGTGCTTGTTTTCACATTTTTCTAGGTTCAAGCATATTCTTCAGCCTATTGCTGATGTTTGTATTACGAATGAGCAACGTGGATATGTGGATTTCGATTCTTTCTTTACTCATACAATTTGCCATGAGTGTTGCCACGGGATTGGACCTCATACCATAACACTCCCGAATGGTAAAAAATCAACCGTGAGATTGGTTAGTACCATAAATTTTCTGTTTTGATATATCTGATTGCCATTACTTCTCCTTTTTTTTATATTTTTTATGCAACAACATCAAATATAAAATTTGTAGTACTTACAGTACATTAGTACTCAACTTAACAATCTCTTAGTTGAGTACTAATGTACTGTAAGTACTACAAATTTTATATTTGATGTTGTTTATTTTATCATTCTGGATATGAATGTTACTTTCAAAATTAGAAAAGAAAAAAAAAACACTGGTTCACATGTTGTCCTCACTCTTTTTTATACTTTAAAAGTATAAAAAAACTAATAATAAATGGAGCCATCCCTATTCTCTAAGTTATATAGATTTATCGTCTAGATTACATATCTAGTGACTTTGGTTGAAGAAGAATCTGTTGGAGGATTTAAAATTTTCGACTTGGTTAAGAATGAATAAGGTAATTAGGTTGTAAAGTTCATCAGTTGTGGTTCTCATCTTTGTGTATACAAGGCGTTTCTTTCATATAGTGTTCATTCTTCACCCGACTATCAAAGTTCTTTATAACCGAAAACAAGATGTTTGTTTTCTGACTTTCTTGTTCTATCTCATAATTCTTACGACTGGAAATTTGGTTTATTCTTCTGCAATTATGTCTCGTGAATGGAGACAATTTCTTGGCTCGGATGGAAAGAGACCGTTGTGCTGCTGGTTGTTGAATCTATTTGGGCTAAATTCTAGATGCTTACTTTTGTTGGTGTGTCCTGTGATTCCTAAGACCATCAATTTGGTTGGTATTTTATGAATGGAGCTGTGCACTTTTCTATTTTGAGCAATCTTGTGGTCTTGATCCTTCTGAATAACTCGACCCTCCACATCTATTTTTTGTTCCCAGGTTTTATTGGAGGCCTTTCTAGTGTATTATCGTATCTCTATTTTTTGTTACAGGAACTGCAAGAACTCCACTCAGCTATGGAGGAAGCAAAAGCTGACATTGTAGGCCTTTGGGCACTGAAGTTCCTCAACCTCCAGGTTGGTTGGTTGGATCCATCGACCTTCTTAACTACAATATTTTAAAAAATTCTTGGGTTCACCGATCATCTATTTACTAATTTAATATGTTGGAATCTCAATCAGGGCCTTCTACCAGGAGCTTCATTGAAGTCTGTGTATACTACTTTCCTTGCGGGATGTTTCCGGTCAGTACGTTTCGGCTTAACAGAGGCTCATGGGTAAGCTAACTTGACATTGTTTCTTCCGCTTATGTTTCCTTGCCTAGCATTTTAGACTTTCGGTTTATTGGCAGAAAAGGACAGGCCTTGCAGTTCAATTGGCTACATGAGAAAGAAGCCTTCGTTTTAAATCCAGATGAAACATTTTCTGTTAATTTTGACAAGGTACAGCCCTAGACGTCTAAATTTCATCTTCAAATGAGTTAGTCCTTCTAGTTTAAGTGTATGAGTCCTTTATTTTTCTTTTAAGGTGGAAGATGCAGTTGAAAGCCTGAGTAGGGAGATACTAACCATACAGGCAAGAGGTGACAAGGAGTCAGCAAGTCTGCTTCTTCAGAAATATGGTGTCATGTCCGAACCATTGAAATCAGCATTGCAAAATTTAGAACGAATCCAGGTAAACGCTAACAAATAACACAGATTCACTATTACATTTAAAGATTGAAAATTCCAGTAATTACATCAAGTACATATATCTTAATCTTTTACAAATACACCACCCTATAATTATTGACTCCTATTGATAAACCATTGAATAATTGAATGACTTAAAATGTACTGTTTTGTTTATGAGATATAGAATTGGTAAATGAGTAAACTAAATAGTTGTTAAATTGATGGGATATACTAATGGCTGTACATCTTAATTGGTTGATGTATTTATGAATTCTGTTTCTTATTGAATTATGCCATTTTGAAGTTTACCCTCTATTTGATTTACTAAATAATCAATGTTCTTCATGCCTATATTCTATTAACGAAAATTTGAAGATTGTAGATTTTGGGACAAACAGAATTGTGTATTATAGATGGGGTTTAAAAAATATATACAAAAGAAGATCATTTAAATGAAATGCATCATAGCCAAGTTTATATATAAGACACTGATAGTCTATTAAAGGTGAACTCATGCTGTAAATTTAATACTATATCGATGATTATAAACTAATTAGTTCCCTTCCACTTCGCAATTTCAGGTACCTGTGGATATAGCTCCCGACTTCCCCATTGCCAACAAAATATTGGGAAAGAAGAATTTGCCTTTATGCTGAAGGATTACTATTGGAGGCAATTTGGAGTATGATTATTGCTATGGTGTGTAATAGTAATTTGGCTGTATCTCTCATGTTTGAGGAGTGTCTTTTTCCTTCAAGAAAATGCATTAACAATATGCTTATTGCTATGGTGTGTAATAATAATTCGGCCATATCAGGTGTGTAATAATAATTCGGCCATATCAGGTGTGTAATAATAATTCGGCCATATCAGGTGTGTAATAGTAATTTGGCTTTATCACTCATGTTTGTGGAGTGTCTTTTCCTTCAAGAAAATGCATTAATAATATTTCTTTTGCCCATCACAGGCTTTATTGAGCTCAGGCACAATGTCTTATACTAAAAAGTGTTATATAATTTGAATGGATAATTCTAGAAGGAGCCATCGCACTGATAATGTCCACTTTGAACACTTTGAGCATGAATTTTTATGGCTTTGTTTTCGATTTTTCTATAATGTCACATCCAACATATAGGATTACTAACATTCCTCAATAATCCTCAATAAATTCAATTCTCCAAAGTTTCTGCGCCTTCTAGGGAAGGCAAATCAGTCAGTAAACCAAAAATCTCCATGTTATTATGTCTTCATTTGCACGATGCTTTCCTCTTCATTTGCACGATGCTTTCCTATTGAACAATCTCCATATTTCTTCACCATAGTTTTGCCATTTCCCTCCACATTGCTCTAATGTTGGCATTGTTAAATTTCATGTTTTGTTTTTTTTTGTTCGCAAGGAGTTTCTTCTGTAGAAGTTTGATTAAATCTCTCTTGACATTATTGATGGATTTTTCTGTTCAGAAGTTCAGGATGGTACAGATGATGAATCCTTCTCTATAACCAACTGAAAGAGGCTGGGCCCAGTTTCAACAAGTAACTGGAGGTGATTTGTAGATAGACGAACACAGGTACAAAATCTACTTTTTAAAACAAAAAGAGAGTTCTTCACTTGGATTAAAGCCAACGGTTGTGCAACAGGAAATCCATTTGATAGCAATACAGGGTCATTCCTAGATAACTTTCAGCTCCCCAAGCCAAGCGGTATGCAGAGGGCAGGGGTCGGGTTTTCCAGCAGCAATGGCTTTCTCGGAGAGAGAATAGAACCACCCGTTTCGCCATTTGAACTGTACAAGTAAAGGGATTGTTAGCACAAGAAAAAAAAAGGTATCGAGGGAGCTCCCAGAATTCCCTTTTGATTTTAATCTACCTCTTTTACTGCCGTGGGGAAGTGAGCCACAGCCCGAGAATATGCACATAATCTTTCCTCTATACCTTCTTCAAACACCAACTGCCTTTCAGCTGCGGCTGCAGATGCAAGTTCTGCAATGAGGCTAGAAACCTGCAATTATAAATTCGGATTAGATAGTCTATACGCAACAACCTAAGTCCTATCGCTAGCATATATTATCCTCTTTAGGCTTTCTCCTCAATGTTTTTAAAACGCATCTGCTAGGGAGAGGTTTCTACACCCTTATAAAGAATGATTCCATAATATACATACATAGCTGAAGAATTATGCAGTAAACTAATTGCGTGAAGAAGGTATCGTACTTCAGAGCGATAATCCTTTTCCACAGCACCCACGGTCGCACCTGGATGACGTGCTCCAACGAGCATAAATGCAGAAATCCAAATCAGCTTCTCCAACATTTGTTTCTCAAATGCTTCCTTGTCAAGAACCTAGCTTACAAACACAGTCTTTAAAGTTAGTGTGTATATGGAATAAAAGAATATCATAAATGACACATATTTCTCTAAAGAACATTCATGAAACAACTCATTGTTTACTTCCCAGTTTACACACAAGAGGCACATTTCTTTTGTGAATTTACCTTGCAGGAGAGGCCTGCAGCATTGAGCCTTCCAGCTACGGCAGATGCCCATTTTCCATACGCTGCTGTCAGTCCTTCAGGATTGGTATCCGTTATTCCATCCACAGGAGCCTCTCCCAGCTTTGAGATAGCGAAATATGCTAACACTTGATTAACATCATTTAGACCTTTGCTTTCATACCAAGGGTCCAGCATTCCATTCTGGAAAAAAACCAAATCTGCTAGATTGTCAATATCCATTGCTAAAACACAATACAGCACAAGCCATTCCAAATGGGATGTTGCATTAGAATACCCTAAATTCTTCCGAAATCCAAATGTTGCATTAGAAATTTAACAACAAGTCCAAACCCACCCCCACAGCTAGCAGATATTGTCTTCTATGTGCTTTCACTTCCAAACTTTGCCTCAAGGCTTTAAAATGCTAAGAGAGTGCTAGGAAAAGGTTTCCACACCCTTGTAAGAAATGTTTCGTTCTCCTCTCCAACCAATGTGGGATCTCACAATCCACCCATCGAGAAACATCCTCATTGGTGTGCTCGGTTGTCTAGTTGATTGCATATGGTATGCAAGCGTGGATATTAAATTGAGTCATGAAGTCCAGACGTGAACTATAACACCAATTGGAAAGGAAATGAAATTTGGTAAACTTGTACCAAAAAACTTGAGCTGAAGCTGAGTTTATGGGATAGGCAATCAAAACAAGAAAGGCCATAATGCTAAAACTTGGAACAAAAACAAAAAATTTCAAACCCCACAAAACGAGATGGGAGTGAAGCATATCGTCGCCAATAAATGCGTCTCGATTCAAAATAAGAGAGAAAATAAAGACAATAGCACGATTCGATGATCATACCGTTCCACCTCGATTGAGGAGTGGATTCAAGAACAGCTTCAAGATCATCATTTCTAGTACAAACAAGTATAGGACCTGGAAAATCAAGGGGCACGGACTCGCCTCTCTTCACCAAAAAATCTTCGCCGTTTCCCATGTCCAGCAGCGCCCTCCCAACGCGCCCACTTCCGACTATCACAGCGGGTACCACCTTAGTTCCGGTAGCCGCGGCCATGATTCTCAGACGGCGATCGCGAAATTTAGAAGCGGGTTTAGAAAGTCGAGACCAGAGAGAAGAGCTAGAGATTGTGAAGGAAATTGCGGCGGCCATGGCTGAGAAGGAAATGAACCAGGTGAGCTTGAAGTGACATTGTTGTGTGGTTTGTATAAGCAGAGAGGGTCAGTGTGGGTTTTCAGAGAGCGGCTTTGAGTGGCGGAGAAGAAGATAAGCCACTCGATCTGTGGCCATGGCTGCGCCCACCGACCTATCTGTAAGTTGTTTATAGGCCCGATGGGCTTTTTAATGTAAGAAATATGTGGGCCTAAGCCCACATAAGGCTTAACTGTATTTGGTTTAGGCTAAAACATGTTGCTTAAAATCAAACACTAAATGGACCTGTCTGCAAGTTGTTTGTTGGCCCGATGGGCTTTTTACGCAAGAAATATATGGGCCTAAGCCCACATAAGGCTTAACAGTATTTGGGCTGGGCTAAAACACAGGTCACACTAAATGGACCCACCTCTAAGTTGTTTTATAGGCTCGACGGGCTTTTTTATGCATAAAATATGTGGGCCTAAGCCCACCTAAGGCTTAATAGTATTAGGGCTGGGCTAAAACTTGTTGTAAGTTGTTTATAGGCCCGATGGGCTTTTATGCAATAAATATGTGGGCCTAAGCCCACCTAAGGCTTAAAAGTACTTGGGCTGGGCTAGAACTTAGAACAAGTTTTTAGAGGCCTGATGGGCTTTTTACGCAAGAAATGTGTGGGCCTAAGCCCATAACAGTATTTAGGCTGGGTAAACTTGTTCTAAGTTGTTTAGAGGCTCGATGGGCTTTTTATGTGATAAATATATGGGCCTAAGCCCACCTAAGGCTTACAGTATTTGGCCTGGGCTAAAACTTGTTCTATGTTGTTTAGAGGCCCGAGGGGCTTTTTTGTGCAAGAAATATATAGACCTAAGCCCACCGAAGGCTTAACATTATTTGGGCTGGGCTAAAACTGTTTTTGTCTCAAGTTCAACAAACCAAAGGACGATGGGTGACAAGAAAACGTTTGTATACCTCGCCAATCTCCCTATAACGCTCTGTATCTGAATCCCCTAACTGATCTCAGGCACAGCCGTAGCTGCATCGACGGCGGTGGATTCCGACAAGGTAAGGAAAACTTGATCCCCAATATGAAGGTAAGGATTCCAGCACTTCTCACTTGTTTTGATTAACATCTTAGTAAGTTTGGTTATTGATTGTCATCTCGTATACGTTGGAGAGGAGAATGAAATATTCGTTATAAGAGCGTGGAAATCTCTCCAATCTCTCCACACGATTGGGAAATTCAAAGAAGCCAATATCGGCTAGTAGTGGATTTGGGTTATTATAAATGGTATCAGAACCAGATATCAAACAGTGTGCCAGTGAAGACATCGGTTAGAGGGGAAAACAAATTATTACTTGTAGGGTTGGAAACCTTTCCCTAAAAAACTCGTTTTAAAACTTTGAGGAGAAACATAAAAAGGAAAGGACAATATTGGATATCGGAAAAGAAAGGAATGGCAGGACCGAAAATTGGCAATGGCTTGCCATCAACGACGGAATGGAACGTGTAAGTATAAAATATCATATATGGGATCAGGTTCATTTCCTCGCACATTCTAATGGAGTGTTATATTGTGTTGAAACAAGTTTGGAGAGTTCCTATAATTGTGACATTGTTTTCTCCTTGTGTTCATTCTCAGCGAGCTCGTCTGAAATCAATCCCGAGCCAGTCGAAATCGCTTCTCGCTGCTGTAACGTAAACCATCACCCCATCCTTTGTTGAGAGGGAGTCCCACATTGGTTAATTGTGGGAATATGATCATGAGTTTATAAATAAGAAAATACATTTCCACATAGTATAAGCCATTTTGGAAAGTACAAAGAAAATTCATGAAAATTTATGTTTAAAGTGGACAGTACCATACCATTGTAGAGAGTGTGATTCCTAACATCCCTTCGGATATCTCTCTTTTCTCCCTCTATCTTTTCAGAGTGATAGCTGTGCTTTCTATTTTTCTAAAACTCATAAATCTACCCCATGCAAAATTGAATAATTTTGAATTTATTGGATATAAAATTCAAATTTTATCTAATAAAATAAATAAATTTTTATATAATTTTTTATTTTTTCAAAAACTGAACAGACAACTTTGAAATAAATCATTAATCAATAAAAATGATTCCAATACAATTCCTCAAGTAGTGAGCTGGCGAAGTACGTTAATGAAATATATACAGGTAAGCACTTCAACTTCCAACGAACCAAATCAAAATCACATGCGACAAAAACAGGCAACCTTATTAAATGCATCTTAAAGGGATGCATAAGGTCACAGAGATGCTATGTGACCACAACCTATAAAACTTCAATCGTATTATATATACTTTACTTTCAGGTTAATATATTATTATTATTATTTATAATCAAAATTATTGCATCAATTAATTAAAATAATAATAATTGCTCATTTTCGTCCCATATATTAACAAAAAATAATAATTGCTTAAATTAAATATTGGGCTGGACAATTATATTAACAAAAATGATATTTAAAGTTTTACGTACTTTTCTTTCTAATTTGTATTATTTACAAAAATAAAAATAATTCATTCATGACAAATTCTGGCCCTTTTTATTATAATTTAAATTTCTACTAAAAATTCCAATCGCTATTCTGAATGCATGCAAGATTTCTACTGTTGCATGCTGATGAATTCTACGGGGGGTGGGATGGAATTAAACGCTTCCTTCTCTCGTTCTTGTGAATAAAAGGAGGCTGTGGAAAAATAAAAAAAAACTAATTTTGTCTATAATTTTAATTAATTACCTGCCTCAGGCCACGCCTCCATTATCTCCGTTCCCGATATTCGTAATCCGCCATGGCCATGGCCGAAGTTATTTTCTTTTGCTGATCTCGTCGGACGTTAAATTCCTCAATCCCCTCTTTTGATCCTACCTAATTAAGCATCGAGTGCGTAGTGAAAATTTGATGAAGGTAAAAACGAATTTAGATACCCAAAAATGCCGTCGTCGCCTTCGGCAATGTCGTCGGAATCTTGAGTACAATCGAAGTAAGTTTGAATGTCATCGGGAATACAGCGGCGAGGCCGGTCAGATTCCGGCGGCGTCTGTGGAGGGTCGGCGGTGGGGTTTCTTTCTATTATATCATTAAATTTTGAGGAATGGAGTAGAAGCTCCAGCGTGTTCGACGACGAGGACTCACCGTCGCCAGGTCCCAGCGGTGGCGTGGAGATGGGTTGGTCGGAGCTCGAACATTGGGACGGAAAGGTGAATTCAAGGAGGGATTTGGGGTCCAATTCTGAAGTCGTTTTGCCGGCGTTAGGGCTTGGTGGACAGTTATTATTGTTTGGGATATCTTGTTCCTCAGGACGGAGGCATTTGATATAACGGCTAAGGTCGAAATTTGTAACGGCGTTAAGGCCACGGTATTCTATGGCGGCCATGTCGTAAGCTGTGGCAGCTTCCTCTTGGGTAGCTGTGAAAGTAATAATAATAAAATAAAAAATAAATTGAAGATAATAATACAAGAGAGAGGAAAATTTTAAAAATAATAATAATAAATTGGAGATCTTAATTTGTATGCAAAATTTGGTGGGAGGACTTTGAAAAATTTATGAAATCATGTGTCAAAATGAATAATCTTAAATGGCTGGCCATGCAGCAGTTGAGGTTTGGTGATCTACATCCCAACAACTGGATTTAGTTGCATATATATTTAAATATTTTAGAAAGAACAGAAATGATCTTAATATCTTATTTTTTAAAAATTAAGTTTGGGATGTCCTACNAAAAAAAAAAAAAAAAACAAAAAAAAAAGATTTTGAAAACTAACCCTGATTTAACTTTTAATTTTTATATTTTAAAAGAAACTTTTGATTCATTAGCTAAAATAGTTGAATTTTAAATATAAAAATAACTTTTTTATATATAAAACTACTTTGTTTTGTTTTCACGATTTACTCCAATTTTGAAGACATATTTATGAAATAAATAAGCATGATTTTATAATTAAAAAAAAAAAAAAACTAAAGAAAAATCAAGTGAAAACAATCCCTACCCAAAATAAATAAATAAAGTAGTTATCCAATAGTGGAACAACTTTATTTTATTAAAATAATGATAACAAACCGCTACCTATCAAACAAAACCTTCACCATTTGATAATATAGCGCAGTTTCTTTATAATCAATATTATGGGTTTTTAAAGCATAAGGAGGCAGATGAAAATATGGGACTACACACCAGAGAAAGAGATAATAAGACTATTCATATCCATGCCGAGTATTAAAGAGTGTAGTCTATGATGTCAACTTTATTTATGAACAATATAATGTTGGTTATGTTCATGAGAAATAATGATTTTTTAAAAATTTAAGGAAATTACCGTATGTTCCAAGGTAAAGGTATTTGTTGCCAAACACTCTTCCGATTCGAGCTTCCCATCTTCCATTATGATGGTGCCTGCAGCAATGTAATTATTTTACACGAACCCAAACCCAAACTCTTTCAATTTTCAATTACTAAACATCAAAAAGAAAATATAAAATGAGTTAGCATAATCATAAATTTATAAGTAAATGGTTATAAATGGTAAACAAATACATCTTTGGAGGCTTCTTAGTGAAACTAAAAATAAGATCGTATGAGAATTTATGTGAATCTATAATTCTTAATTCAAAATACGTCAAAATTTCAAAAGATTGTAACGGTTTTTTTTGCACAACTAACAAACAACTTTACATGTCAACTTTACATGTCAAGATTGTCTTCCATCTTTATAGAGAAATACCGACATGTAGTTTTTTCTTCTTCTTGGTTAGTAGTTGAAGAAACTTCAATACTGTGAGTGGAAAGAGAAATTTCACAAATTGATAGCACAAGGAGACTGGAAAAAGGGCAACGTAGAAAGTTAACCAAGAAAGTTCCACACGCAACACGTTAGATTCTTCATATATTTGCATAAGGCAGCTAGACAGCTACGGAGTGTTTGACTTTGGTTAAGAAAGGAAGCCTAGTTTACATTTGATGCATAAAATTGTTTTCCAGAAGCTACAAATTTACTAATTACATGGATAACATAAGCCCAAGTCATGCATACCTTTTATGCTATAAACTAACTTTTTAAATCATAAACCAACAAACAGATGGGTAGTTGCAAAATTAAAGCTCTTGCAATACATTTTTCTAGCAATCCAAAGTCAACAAAGGTGTAACAAATTTGTAGGCAAAAAAAAAAAAAAAAAAAAAAAAAAAAAAAAAAAAAAAAAAAAAAAAAAAAAAAAAAAAAAAAAAAAAAAAAAAAAACAGAAATTACACCGAATTTGTATGCTTATATCTTTATGATAATTAAATTTTAAAAAGTGTTCTTAATTTTTTTTTATTTTGTGTCAGAAAAAATTCATCATTACTCTATATAAAAGCATAAAACTCAATTTTATACTTAGAAAATCAATTACTTTTTAAAATTTTAAATATGTTGTTGAAAACTTATTTACATGTTTAACATTCAAATAATAATTAGATACTTTTAAAAATGAAATAAATTTAAGGTTAAAAGCTAAATTTATAATTTAATTGATAAAAGTTTTAAAATATTTGTTTCCATGTGGAAAAGAGAAGTTCCAAATTTCTTTGGCAGAATCCACTTTTTATTATTTTTAAAATAAAAACAAATAAACAGATGTCACACAAAAACTAATAATCTTCTTAATAATGAGGCAACAGTCCTGTTATAGTCGAGGCTATGGTACCTTGCTACACCTCTGTACTTCGAAACCCCGCGAGAAAAGCCGCTACTCTTCCTGTGGATTGAACTCATAAAAATGGATATGGATTCTAATTTAAAGTTTAAGCAGAAATAAAATCTCTGGAAATGGCAATTACCTTCTCAAATATCCAATATACTCCTCTCTTGATTGACCTTCCATTTCTTTAATCTCGTCTTGGTACGTTAATAGCTACAAACAATAAGATCAGAGGACTTGAACAGATGATCTTCAACCAATTTCTTGATTTCCTTATAGGCAAAAGAATAAATAAAATAAACAAGTGAATGCGGAACAACAATCGATCAATTGGAAAATTACTGGAAAGTTGAGAACAGTTTCAGTTCCCCAGTACTTGAGCGCAGCAAGGTCGTAAGCATGAGCCGCTGCTTCTTCATCATCATACGCACCTGTAAATCAGAAGAAAACAACAGTACACATACTTACACCGATCACTCTGTTTCAAGGTTAAATCGCAAATCAAAGTTCAAATCGCAGAAATACCTAAATACACTGCGGGTTTCAGTTCAGATTCCATGAATAAACCACCACACCGCAATACAGAGGCATAAATCAAAAGATCAAAGAAGAGTAAAATCAGGATCGCAACCAAACATCACAGATTGAAAGAGAAAACAACAGATTACAGAACCTTGTCTTCCTTTCTTATTCTGTCCTTCATTCCAGCAATTCTTATCCCACAAATGCGCCTCATACCGTCCCGTCCATCTATGCCTAAAGTAAACCAAATCGATTCAAGAGAAAAAAAAATCAACCGATTGAATAGCTTTTAAGTTTTAACCAAACCGATAATGGCTAACCTGGTGACTCCGCGGTATACAGAGCTACGCTGAGCGGGAGAATCTCGAGGAGTGGACTTACGCGTCCGCTTGAGTACCTTCTTCTGGCTGTGATGGAGTGGAGAAGACTGAGAATTAGCGGTGGTAGAAATGGAATTCTTGTGCGGCGGATGTGAGATCTTGGCCATTAAAGCAAGCGAGAAGGCGACGGAGTGGGAGGAGGGAAGTACGTGAAGCAGCGGAAGAAAGAGGGAGAGTAAATGACAGAGTCATCCAATGGAAAAGGGCAAATTTAAAAGGGAAGGGAAAAGAAAGAGTAAGCAAATATATAGGGCGACAGATGGGAGCTGTTTGTTTGTTTGGTATTGGTATATTTGGTATCGGTATTGGAATGCCAGCAGAAGAGGAGGTCGGTTTTTAAATCGTATGCCCGTCTTTCTAATTATGCGCTTTCATTTTCTTTTTCTTTTTCTTTTTTCTCACCTATTTTCCCTATTTCCTCTCCCAATTCTTGTTTTTCTTTTTCTTAAACTCTCTATTAATATTTCAAATAAAATAATAATAATATTTATTTTTAAAAATACTTTTTAAATACATATAACTTTAAATAAATGTGTATGAAAATATGTATTTATGAGGATAATAAATAATATGGTTTTCCTAATATATCGGATTTATAATTAAAATGTGAAGTTTAGTTAAAATATTTATCAGTAGATCTAAAGCTAAGCTTGATTATGAAGATGATTTAATGTTAATATGCATGTTTTTTACATTGAAAAAAGAGGGATTAAAACTAAGTGAAATTATTGGATGCATAAATTACATAAAATCTCCATGAGAGAGGGTGCCATGACATCAACCCACTAGGCATTACTTTCCTAAATTCAAAATTATAATAATTTTTTTTTTAGAAAATGTAATAATTAATATCTAATAGCATGATATTGTCCACTTTGAGCCTAATATCTAATACATCAATTATAAACTCATAGTCATTCCCTAAATTAGAAAATAGAGTAGGGTCAGGTTGACTCGACCAAGAAAATATCAACACACAAACCAATTAAATTTTGATTCTCTACAAATTTAACCCAGCATAAAAAAAAAAAAAAGTTAATTAAATAATAAAATTTATTATTAGGAATAAATAAATTTATAATATAGTGTAGCAATTTAATGAAACTGAGAATATTTGGAATAATTATTAAAAACGTGTATTAAAAATTAGGAGGTGGAAAAGGATGGTGAATAAATTAAGGGAGGATAAGCGAATCAAATCTAAAGTGTGGGCTTATAAATTGCTCATACTTTTTGGTAAGCCTCATTGATTGAAGGAATGAAGCTCAATTTTAATTATTTAAAAATTAACCCCACAAAATACATATTATTTTCAATTCATAATTAAAATAATTCCCATTGTCATCACCTTTATCTCTCCACATTTTTTCTGGTAGGTTTGGAGTTGGTTGAACAAATCACACAAGTTGATTAATTTAATACCAATTCAATGATTTCTTTTTTTATTGTTATTATTATTTTTTCCTAATTTAATTCTTAAAATTATTTTTTTGACTTTCTTGTTTTTTGGTGGGAGGAATTTTTAATTCAAATTATTTTCTAATGTCTTTTTTGTTATAATTAGGTTAGAATTGGATACATAAAACTATATTTTAAATAAAATGCAAAAAATAATAGAAAAGAGAATTGTGACAAACAAAAAAAATATAAATTTCTCTCTATTAGATTAAATATTTTATATTTTAACGAGTGGGTACGAAATAAAATTTTAGGAGAATTACACGACACAAAAAAAAACATATTATACTAATAATTCTATTAACTCTGAGCAATGATATAATATTATTCATTTTGAGCATAAACTCTTAGTTTTGGCCTTTCTAAAAGGCCTCTTACAAATTGAAGAGAGTATTCTTTGATTATAAATTTATAAATATTTTTTAAATTAGTCGATGTGGGACTTTCATCCAATAGAGTGTAGCTTCTTTTTTGATGGTTTAATCATAAAATCTACAAATTTAAGAATGCTTTGCTCGGAACAAATTCATGTTAAAAAATGTAATTTTTGGAGATAAAAAATGGAATTTGAAAATAGGCGGATGAATTAATTGCAATATTTGAAACGAAATGTACAAATTACAGGACAAACAAAAAATGAAATATACAAATCCAAATTCTCACCCTTTTTTATTTTGTTACCGAGAGGAAACGAGACAATTCCCCACTCTCTGTATTAAACAAAATTTTCCGGGAAAATCCGTTCCACTTTCCCGGAAAATCCTCTCTGAGCTAGAAACCGCAAGGCTCCGCTGCAAAACCCACCGTGGATTCCTTGGAATTATAAACAACCCTCTGATTCTTCTGCTGGTAATTCCCGATTATCATACTCTGATCTTCATAACCCAAACTCGCAAACGCCAAACAGATCTGAGAAGCGTCGGATTTCACAAAGTAAAAAACCCCTTCAACATCCACAGTCATTTCTGCATTCCCTTCGAAGAAAAATTTCACCGTGGGAATATTCACCTCTTTAAACCCAGTGAGATTAAAACAAGTGTTCAAAATCGAGAATCCTGGCGCTGTTTGAAACCCAGAAAATTGCTTCTCAAATTCCGCTTTGAAAGCTCTGTAAATCGATGGAGTCAATCTGGTAATTACAGTCCCTGAATCGATTAAACTCAAAGCCCCGTTGTTTGGCACACCCAAATTTACCCCACCGATGGTAATTCCTGTGAGATTCAGAAAGTAAAAATTTGGCATCTGAGGATTTGAGACCATTCTTGTGTAGGAAATTGGAGAAACGTTTCTGTAATTTGAGAAGTCGCCGCCGCCCATTGTTAAAGAACCTGAAGCTCCGGCGCCGGTTGAAGGCAAACAGTAGGAAAAAATTCCGTCAAAAACAGAGGAAGTTTGAGAAACGAGAGATAATTTACTCCGACCCAAACCCATTAATCCCGAAGCGCCGCCGAACAAGCCCTTGTTATTCCGGCCACACCCGAATATGAAATTATCGATAACGATTTCCCCTAAATTCAGCCTCTCAAATCCAAGTTCCCCGCGGGAATAAGACCCATCGCCATAGTTAATCTCGTAACCGCAGGAGCTTGAATTTCCGTTCCCACAGAGGCCGGAATTTCCGGTGGCGGGTGGAAGAGCCAAACAGGTGGGGGAATTGCAAGAAAGGGAAAGGAACGAAGAGGAATTTGAGGGATCGAAGAGGGGTTCTTGTTGGTTGTAACAGAGGCGGCAAGGGCGGCATTGGACCCAAGTGAGGTCGCTGCCGGTGTCGACGATGAGAGTTGAATCCCGGCCGCCGAGGGCGACGGTGACGATGTAATTTAGGGTTTGGAGCCTGGTGCCGGAGGACAAGGGGATTTGGGAGTCGGAGATTTGGTGGGTGTCGCCGGAAAAAATGGCGGATTTGATTCGTGATTGAAGAGATTGGAGGCGAATGGCGTCGAAGATTAAGCGGTTTTGGAGATTGTTTTGCCAGTCCGTGACTTTGCCTGAACAATAGTCTCTTTCTTTCATTTCCAATGTCGTTATTCCCTCCCTCACTCCTGAAATTCAAATCCCATAAATATTATTTTAAACAAAATATTCTCAAACCTTTAATTTTATTTTATTTTCTTTTTAATCTTCAAATTTATTAAAAAAAATTACTTAATTTATTACATAAATTTAATTTTTTTATTTAATACAATCTTAAACTTTCACTTTTAGGTTATACGTAATTTTAAAAACATTAAAATTTAAGGACTAAATAAATAAAATAATAAAAATAAAAAATGATGGGTAGAAACCTTGCAAAAAAAAAAAGATTTCTTTGTTTTCCTAATTACCAAAATAACCTTCAATTATAATTTCACAAGGGTAATTTTGGAATTTCACAATTAGAGATAATTTTGCTAAATATTAATAATATGCATCAAGCCAGTATTTCTTTATTAAAATTTGAAGTATATTAACAAAAGTTAAATATTTCAGTCATGACATCATATTAATAACATTAGGATAAATACCTCGATATTACATTTTTAATAACATTTTATCATTTTATTAAGCTTATAATTCAAATAAAACATGAAATAAAATGTAAAACAAAAAACAAAAAAAGAGAGGGTTATTTTAGAACACTAACTTGGCTTCTGAAAGATGCAGTTAACAACAGCTTCTTCCTGCTGCTTCCATGGAAGTTTCTGAAGATGAAGAAGACGATGAAGCTTCTCAGAATCTCCATTAATGGCGTCCGAACGAGCTTCGTCGACGAAGAACAGAAGAAGAAGAAGAAGAAGAAGGAAAAAACAGAGTGATTTAGAAATCTCCATGACTGAGATAAGAGAGGAAAGATGGAGAAGAGAAAATTGAAGGAAACGAGGAATTGGAGCTTGGCATAGGAACAAAAGATGAAGGGCTGGCTTCTTTGTTTGGGCCCATCGCAAATTATTGGCCTTTCACGTGCATATATTTCGGAATTTAACTCAAATAATTATTAAAAAAAATGTGTATATTACCATTATTAGTGGTTATTAATTGTTATAACCCTTTTAGTTTATCTTAATTAATCAGTATTTTCATATTTAGAAAATACAATGTTCTAAGTATTTATTAAAAAAATGTTAAATAAAATTTAACTTATGAATAAATTAATGTGAAATTGATAGATTCTCTTTTTTATTTTTGGAATTTAAAATTGAAATTAATACTTAAATCGAGAAAGATTTTCCATGATCTTAAATCTGAAGCGAAATCCATAATTTATAATGTTGATTAAAAAGTTAAAATTGAGGTTTGTCTGCTTTTCATGTTTTTATTATATTCATTAAAATAGTTGAAGGATTTGATGTGTCTTATGATTGTCTCCATATACATGTGAATGATGATGTCATACCTTGTGTCAATTTCTAATAAAAAAATTTATATTCGAGGTGGATAAAATTTAAAACATTTAACCACGAATTCAATTGAGAGGATTTTCATACATGTATAAAAGGAAATTTAAACTCGGGTATGGCGTAACTCCCTGTAGCCGACAGCCCACGTGGTTAGTTTCTTATACGTAACTCAACTTAGGGTAATTTAACTAGATCTCTAGCCTTCCGACTTTCTCTCGGGTTCTCTAGGTCTCCTAAATTATCATTCTGCTAGCATATTTCTTCATCCTCGTAGTTTTAGACCAATATTGTAGGTCCTCAAGGCGTGACCCCGATTATAAGTTCATTAAGTTCATGCATACTAAAGTTTCGTCAACTCTCAAGATACTATTGTGGACCTTTATCGTTTTCGAGTTCATTAAAA